TCCTCCTGCCTAAGCTCCATGAAGGCTGGAATAAGAATGTGCCACTATTCCCAGCTCATCTCTACCTCTTCCCTGCCCTCCTGCATGTCTTAAAGAATGTCACTCAGCCCAATAAGGTGAATGTCCCTGTAAGCCTGACTGAGCCAGGTAGTGTCTGGGTCACAGATGTAAGAGCCCAAGTTTTTAACCCTCTTAGCCACATGTCCCCAGCACTTTGCTCTTTAGCCCCTTGGGAGGAACTGACCAGCTCTGCAGGATATGGTTTGTGCCTCTTGCAGGGCAATATACAGTATAATTAATAATCCTCTTGGCTACTATTATAAAAGTCTTTGAAATTTTCATAATTTTTCCTGGATACTCTGACCACTAAGAGTTAATATATCGCTTGGGACATGGTAAAATGGCCAGGGTGGCTTGAAGATGTTGTTTTGGTCTAGTGTCCTTGAAGCAACCAGAGCTACCAACCTGTGAACAGGCTTTCATATGCCTCTAGATTCTTAAAAATTGGGTTATGGGGTTAATTAATAAGAATGATAACTCTGTTTATTAATGATATCAAAACTTGAAGGAAAATGATTGGAAATGGTAACTCTGTTCTGTCATAGTTTATTAATAATGACTAAAAGATGAGCAAAAGGAAGTGAAACACATGTCTAAACCAAAAATGATATGATCTATGTTTTGGAACATCATGAATCTATCCCTGCTACACTCTGCTAGTCAGTCAGGCTGCAAGATTCTCCCGACCATCCTTGTCCTGGCTAACTTCCTTCCCCTGATGACTCCTTACATCCTTTGCTAGGACCTGTCCCAGGGGGTATGACTCCCGTATGCTTCCTCACTGTCCATCTCTCCGAAAATGAAATTAAGAAGTATGCCATGTCTGATTCCTCTGTTGCCGCTCTTGGGTCCACCTGTCTTCAGACCCTGCCCTCATCTGGAGCTGACTCAGGCAGTCATAGTATCAGGCTGCCCTCCAAATCTCTATACAGATAAGATGATGGCATTTTCAACTGAAGTTCTCACTTCTCAGAAGACCCCAGTTTGTGTCAAGTTGGCATAAAAACCAGCCAAATAGAGTCAGTTTCCTGGCAAGTTGCCCTCATCCCAGGGGATGGCCCCACACCCATGTGAATATGGGAAACAATAACTTGATTCACCGGTTTAGTCACTAAAAAAGCTACATGAGCTTGGGAGGTTAGTTGGGGGGACCATGAGTTGGGGGATGGTGAATTTGATAAAAATCAATTGAATGTATATTATGAAAATTTCAAAGACTTTTATAATAGTAGCCAAGAGGATTATTAATTATACTGTATATTGCCCTGCAAGAGGCACAAACCACATCCTGCAGAGCTGGTCAGTTCCTCCCAAGGGGCTAAAGAGCAAAGTGCTGGGGACATGTGGCTAAGAGGGTTAAAAACTTGGGCTCTTACATCTGTGACCCAGACACTACCTGGCTCAGTCAGGCTTACAGGGACATTCACCTTATTGGGCTGAGTGACATTCTTTAAGACATGCAGGAGGGCAGGGAAGAGGTAGAGATGAGCTGGGAATAGTGGCACATTCTTATTCCAGCCTTCATGGAGCTTAGGCAGGAGGATTGCTGTAAGTTGAAGGCTATGTGACTCTGAAACCCTGGTCAACAACAAAGAGGGTCAGTGAGAAGGCTCAGAGGTTCTGGTGTTTGTGCCCAAGCCTGATGGCCTGAGTTTGATCCTGGGACCCACATGGTGGAAGGAGAGAGAGGCCACACCTACAAGTTGTCCTCTGACCCCAAATTCATACACACATGAAATAAATGTAATCGAATATTTTAAAGTATAATTAGCTCGGCCCTCACCCAGATCTGCTCAGGACCCTCAGCTGGTCCCTTGTCCCATCCTGGCACCTATGTGAGGGGCCTTTAGCATCATAGTTTGATCAGTCATGGTCAGTGTCCACCAAGTAGCCTCCATTAAAAACCAGGCCATGACGATGCTTCTAACCAGAATGATTCAGACATGGCTTCTGGGTCTTTTTAAGGAAGACCTCTTACAACCATCTACACCTTGTGGCCATAACCATGAGCAGAGCCAATTTTCCCAATACTTCCTCAGTTTTCCATTCCTTGCTCTCTGCAGTGATTCCAACTGTGATTAGGATGTGTGTGTGTGTGTGTATGTGTGTGTGTGTGTGTGTGTGTGTGTTTGTGTGTGTGTGTATTTGTATGTATTTGTTTTTCTGTTTTATGAGACAGGGTCTCATCATGTAGCCCAGGCTGGCCTCAAACTCTTCATCTCCTGTGTCTGCCTCTCAGGACTTGGGATCACAAGTGTAGACCACCTGCCATGATGAACATCTACTCCTGCTGGGCTGGGAGACTTTGGCATGGAGACAGGCTTGTCCCTCATGGTGATATGTCCTGGGTATAAGTCAGCACTCTACATTATTGGAGATTGGCAACTGACCGATAATGCAGGTGGTCACAGCTGGGCAGAGGGCACACACCTGTAATCCCACTACTTGGGAGGTCAAAGCAGCAGATTCCCAAGTTCATGTCTATCCTGGGCTACATAGTGAGATCCCACATTAAGTAAAATGAACCCTTCATCCTTTATGATTGACAGATGGGGTGAGGGCTGGAGGGCAGTGAAACTGTTGTTGATGATGCCTTGGATGATGGCCACATGGGTGTGCACCTGGGAACCCGGGGAACAGTGAGACCTGAAGGCTGAACTTCAAGCTAGCCAATTCCTTGGGAACACAGCTTATTATCATGTCCCGGTTGGAACCAGTCACCTCTCACACCCCCACCACAGCAGTGGTGAATCTGGATGCCAGCCAACTTCTGGGTGTTTCTCACTTGTTCTTCACGTTTTACCTACGAGTGTGTATTTCTGTTAAATGTCTAGAAGGCTATAAATCTATCTTCCAATAACAAAGAAGACCAAGAAGAAAAGAACAACAAGAGACAATGTGTTTAAAATGCTTCATGCCTCCTGGCCACAGCCTGCTATGAATCACCAGAGTGTCATGGAGCCCAGAAGTCATAGACCCCAGATGCAGAGGCAGGATTTGCATAGCCCCGCCCTTCCTGGGAAATTGAAACTAGCTGTGGATATAAGGGGCAGCTGGCCCCAGAGGCAGCTGCAGTCAGAAAACACACCTGGCCCAGGATGGCACAGAAACTCAGCAGCACCCCTGCCAGGGAGCTGGACAAGTTCATAGAGGACAACCTCCTTCCCGACACCAGATTCTGTGATGAGGTCAGAGCAGCCATGGACATCATGTGTAAATTCCTGAAGGAGAAATGCTTCAGAGACGCCAGCCACGATGTGAGCATCTCCAAGGTGGTGAAGG